CACCTGAGGAAGGAAGATTGAATCTGGTCTCAGATATTCAATGGCTATTTGACCATAAGCCAAGTTACTTCCCCTTCCTATGGCTGAGTCATCTAATTTGTAAAAAAGTATTTGGAGTAGATCACCTCTAAGATCCCTCCAAATTCTCAGTCTATAAGGGAATTAGCACCCAAAGAAAAAATAAAATGATCACTTTTTGTACATGATATGATCATTGAGATTCAACTAAAAATAGAAAGGACATTTTCAGCAAAGTAAGAGGGTATCTAAAACAAATCCAGACTTTCTATGTATTACCAATGTACAGTAAGAAGAGAAAGAGAAATTCCATTCAAAATAACTTCAGAATGTACAAAATATTTGGGCATCCACCACACATAGGAATTACAGCAATACAACTACAAAACTCTATCAAAACAAAGACAGAAATCACAGATGTTAACTCCTCATTGTTGTGCATGGCCGCTATAATAAAAGCAATACTGTCTAAATCAATTTGCACAATCAGTGCCGTGCTAAACTTCTAAAGCATTACTTTAAAGAGCTAGAAAGAATATTTATCAGGAGCAACCAAAGATCAGAATCTCAACATAAAATAGGGGGAAGGAAGGGTGGCTAACAGCACTAGATCCCAAACTATACTACAAAGCAGTAATCATCAAAACTATTTGGTATTGGTAAAAACTATAAAATTGAGTAATGGAACAGAGAGGTCACAAGATTCAGAAGCAAATGAACATAGTAGCACAGTGTTCAATAAGCCAAGGACATCAACTATTCTCTAAAAATCAGTCCGTCTTGAAAAAATTCCATTTAGACCACCACCTCACACCATATATCACAGTAAGCTCCTAAATATGTGGATATATAACCTAGACATAAAAGGTCATATTATAAGCAAATTAGGAACAAGGAAGCTGTGGGAAAACAGGCACACTAATTCACTACTGGCAAAACTGTTAATTGATCCAACTACTGCGGAAAACATCTTGGAACAATACCTCAATACTGTAAATAACTTTCAACCCAGCACTACCATTGCATGACAGAGGGAAAAAACTCATGGACCCAAAAATACTTCTAGCAACATGTTTTGTCATAGCAAAAAACTAAAAAATGCGAGCCTCCATCAACTGGGGAATGGCTTAACAAATTATAGTATACGAACAGAATGGAATATTATTGCCCTAACTTCCCAGTTCCTCAAATCTACGCAATTTCCATGACCTACACTGTACTCCACCTCAGCTACACACAGAGATGGCCATTCCCTTGATGTAGCCATCACCTAACCTTCCATTTCCATGTTCACAAATCCTGAAATTCTTTCATCTGATCATAATCTTTTATTATTTCATTTTTCCCTACTGAAAGTCCAGCCCTGCTCTTGGTCCTCTTTTCCCTCCAGGCCATCACCCCTGCACTGGTGATGACTCTCTCCTTTCCCTACCTCAAACCCTTGGTGAAACAACTTTCCACTGTCCTCTCCTCTCCAAGTCCCTTGCCCCCTTTTCTCCTGTTACTGTTCATGATTTGCCAAACCACGCTTAGATCACTCTGACCCATCTCCTTCTATTCACGTGCTGCTGAACAGGGCTGGAGGAAATAATGAAAACATGCTGACTGGGTCAACTCCAAAGGTATGATCCCTCATCTTAAATGGCTCCTCAGGGCAGCAATTCTCCTACTCACTAATGTATTCATAATCCCACTCTCCACAGAAGCTATTCCAGACCTTCTCAGCATCTTTCAAGCCTCTCCTTCTCAGCTGAGTATGTAGAGAAAAAATTGAGGACACCTGCCCCAAGTTCCCCCTTCTCATCTCACAATGCTCAGCCATCTTTCCTCACTATCTCCTCCTTCACTCCAGTCTCAGATGAAGAGACAGGCCTTCTCGTTAAGGCCACTAGATACTCTCAGAATCCCACTGCTCCTGTCTTTTTTCAGAAGACTGCCCCCACTATCATACTCACTGTCCCCTCTTGTATCTAATCTCTCCCTATTTACTAGTTCCTTTCCTACTGCCTATATATTTCCACATCTCTCCCGTCCTTACCATTCCTGCCTAGCTCTTGTCCTATGTATCTCTCCTCTCTTCCTCCTGGAGAAAGCCATCTATATTTGGTGCCTCCACTTCCTTTCCTGTCACTTTCTTCTACAACCTGGCTCCCCACCTCATCATTCAACCCAAACGGCCCTCTCTACTGTAACCAGTAATCCATTAATTGACCAATTTCATGGCCTTTTGTCAGTCCTCATCCTTTTTGAACTCTCTGCTGCCCTTGGTACTGTTGATCACACTCTCTTCTCTCTCTTTTTTCTCATGACATCATTCTCTCCTGATTCCCCTATCTGTCTTCTCAGTCTCCTTGGCTAGATCCTCATCCAAGTCCTACCCACTAACCACGGGTGTCCCCCACATCTCAGTCCTGGGCCCTTCTCTCTTTTACTTGAGGAGCTCATCAACTTCCATGAATTCAATTATCATCTCCATGCAGGTGATTCTATAGATCTGGCTCAGGTTTCTCTCCTCAGCTCCTGTCGTGCATACCCAAGTACCTGTCAGACATCTTGAAGTGGACGTCCACTAGGCATTTCCAACTTGATATGTCCAAAATAGAACTTATCTTTACCCCCAAACCTTCCCCTCTCCCAAACTTCCTTATTACTGTTGAGGGCACCACCATCTTCCCTGTTACCCAGGCTGGCAATCCTAGATTCCTTATTCTCACTTAATCCATACGTCTAATCTGTTGCCTAATTTTACAGTTTCTACCTTCACAACAATTCTTGTATATTATCCCTTCTCTCTACTCACAAAGCTACCACCTCACCACCTCCTGGCCAGCCTTCTCACTGGTCTCCCTGTCTCAACTCTCTTCCCACTCTCATCTGTCCACCATTTGGGGATCAAAGTGGTTTTTTTCTGAAGTGTAAGCTTGACGATATCCCCCCCCCCCATCCACCCAATACACTCAACAAAGTGCTGCCTGTTAACCTCCAGGATAAAATATAAAGTGCTCTCTTTGGCATTTAAAGGCCTTTCAATCTGGTCCCTACAAAGGGACCAACCTTCCCAACTCCTTAATCTACCTCCTTCACCAAACCTATAATCCAGCTTCCTAGCCTACCTGCTCCTGGCCCATATGTTTTCTCAATGCCTTCGCATGAGCTGTCCCCCATGCCTAAATGCTCTCCTCCCACCTCCCTCTGTCTCAGGGATGCTCTTAACACTGAGCTCAAATACTTCCTTCAGCCTTTCCGGCCTCCCCCGGCCCCACAGTGAGTACTTTCCCTTGGAAATTCCTTTCCACTTAGGTACAGTTAGCATTTCTATAGCAAATTAAGGTTTGCAAAAGGCACTTTACAAATTTTATCTCAAGGGCAGGTAGGTGACGCAGTAGATAGAGCACAGGCCCTGGAGTCAGGAGGACCTGAGTTCAAATCTGGCCCAGACACATAACACTCACTAACTGTGTGACCCTGGGCAAGTCACTTAACCCCAGTTGCTTCACATTAAAAAAAATTATCTCATTTGATCTTCAAAGCAAAACTGAGTATATGGTAAGCACTTAATAAATGTTTGTTGATGCCATTACGAATGACTTTCTTATTGGGACGTAAAAACCGATGGAAAGGCTAGATTCAAAGAAATCTGGGGAGAACTGGAGGAAATGATGTTGAATGACAGAGCCAACACTTTATGCAATGACTACAATACATAAAGGAAAACACCTTTCAAAGATTTGAGAGCTCTCTGATCAATACGATGACTGGACATGATTCCACAAGACTAATCACAAAGCAAGCTTCTACCTCTTGGCAGAACTGATGCAAAATGAGACCTCCCTTTCTAGACATGACCTAAATATAAATGTGTTTTACTTTGGTATACTTATTTGTTACAGGGGAGGGGTTTTTGGGGGGTGGATTATGTTGAATTAGGAAATAAGCATTTATCAAGTACTTATTAATTGCCAGGCACTGTGCTAAGCACAACAGATATAAATGCAAATGTGGAACAGTCCCTTGACCTTAAAATGAGAAGACAAGCCATACTGGGGAACTGATAAGTTCCAGGGATGTTCAGTGAGCAAATACAGCAATTCATTGACCTGCCCTTTCCCGAAGCAATGGTAAAGTTGGTTTATCGGTGTTCTGGGAGATAGAAATGGGGAGGAGGTACATGCTGAGCATGTCAGAAAAATGATTAGAGTTAAAGATCATGGTTGAGTTTGGGGCCAGCCAGGCACGTTCTGAAGGGAGCTAAGGATTCTAAGACATGGAGATGAAGAGGGAGACTATTTCAACAATGAGGGCCAGTCTGTGTAAGAGGTAGGGAGGTGGGACACCGCATGCATGTCAGACACAAAGAAATTAGGAAGCCAAACTGACTGGATTAGAGAGAATGTGAGGGGAGTATAAAGAAAAAAGGATTCTAGAGGGTACAGATGAGGAAGAGGTGTGGTTAGTGACAGAGATGCAGAAAAAAGAAAAGAACTGTCCATCAAACATTTAAAAAATACAAAGATGGGGCAGCTAAGTACGCAGTGGATAGAGCACCGGCCCTGAAGTCAGGAGGACCTGAGTTCAAATTTGACCTCTGACCAAACACTGATGCTTCCTAGCTGTGTGACCCTGGGCAAGTCACTTAAACCCAACTGCCTAAAAAAAAAATTTTTTTTAAATTAAAAAATACAAAGATACAAAAGACAAAGGAGAGGAGGGGAAAGTTCAGAATAAACACAGACAAGCAGGGCAGTGTTGATCCTACTTGCTAAATCTAATACAAAAAAGAAAAACAAGTTCAGAATAATAGAGATTCACAGTTTCATACAAAACTCTTTTCCTAGTCTCTGTATATGAAAAGTTCAGCTTTGTTGATATTTGTCACGTTCACGATAAAAAGAAAATTTGAAAAACAACAACAAAAATGTAACTTCAAGGCGAGTGATACTAACTGAAGAAGAGAGGGGATGACGGGGGAGGAATAAATTCACCTTTTCATAGAGAAGGGCCAGGAAACGATCGGATTGGACCGAATGTTCTCCACAGACCTTTGTGGCTCTGAGTCTTAGGGTGAGCTCTTCCTGGAGGAAGAAAGATTTCAAACACACGATGCCGCCTCTTTAGAGGTCACAGGCACTGCCTCTGCATCCTACGAACTACTGCCTGGCCACTTTCTCGAAGGTCAGTTAGACTATGGTTGCGGTCGGGCAAAGGGGCAAATGGCCAGAGAGCCCAGCTCGTGGTCATCCTCTGGTCAGCACAAGCACAAGCGCTGTGGGAACAAAGCCTGTCTGGGACTCCTTGGAAAAGTTCAATGGAAGGTGGTACCTTCTGACCCCCTGGAGAGCCTCAAACTTCTGGGGACCCCCCCAATCATCTCTCAGACTTACAGATTCGGTCTGACCGACTCCCCGATTTAACATGAGTAACTGAGGCCCAAAGTCCGACGAGGACACAGCCAGGAATCGATAGGGATGTGCAGCATTTGCACCCAGGCCCTGGGGCGCGAGCGTTACCTTGGTGATGACGAAGTTATCCCCGCAAGGACAGGGGTAGAAATACGTCTCTGTTTCCTCTTCGTACTCGAAGTCTTCGATCTCCACCTCGTCGTGAAACACCGACATCGTCAGGACAGCAGCTAGCCGGCTCAGGCCACCGGCCAGCCAAGCCTCCAGCACCCCACGCCAGCGACCTCGATTTCCGGCTGCTCCAGTCCGGCACGAAGCCTGGAGCGCACGCGCAAGACGAGCTTCCGACCAACAGCCAATGGGCGCGGCGAGAGTTCCGGAAATGAGTGTCGGCATCTGGGCGGAGGTCACCATGGAGACTGTTTGGGATTGAGGAGGAAACACGAGATAGGAAGTCCCGCCCAGATTCCGGGGAATCAAGCCATTCGCTTGCTGCAACATGCTCTGCCCTTCGGAGCCAATAGGATTCCGGCGTCCGTAGCGTAGTCCCTGCGCAGCGCACATGCTGGAGAACTTCCGTTGGCTTTTACCTGCCCAGCTCTGGGGAGGCGGAAGCGGGGTTGGCGGAGATTTCTGGGGTAGCGTGGCGGTGACCCTTTTTCTGCCTCAGCTTCCACCAAACGTAAGTCCAGAGGCAGAGCCCGGGCTGAGGGGGCGCCTCGCGGGCTCCCTTGCGGCGCTGGACCTCACCCCAGCGCCGAGCGGTAGTCTCCAGGGACAAAAACGCCTCCCTTGGGTCCCTGGCGGCCCCGGAGGCCGAGCCGGTGACGTTGAGCTCGGGGTTCCTCGTTCTCTGTGCCCCTGACGTGAGCATGAGCTCCGCACCGTGGACGTCCCCGTGTCGTTCCTGGGACGGGAACATCTGTCCCCGTATGCCCCGTGTGTGCGCGCACACACCTGGGCCTTTCATTCAGATTGGCGGGGACCCCAAGATTACCGTGGGGCTGCGGGGGTCATTAGATCACTGAGGGGCTCCCCAGATTACCATGGGGCTGTGGGGACACCTAGATTACCGTAGGGTTGCGGGGGACCCCCATATTACCATGGGACTGCGGGGGTCAGTAGATCACTAGGGGCCCCCCCAGATTACCGTGGGGCTGCGGAGACCCCCAGATTACTAGGGGGCTCCTCAGATTGCCGTGGGGCTGCGGGGACCCCCAGATTACTAAGGGGCTCCCCAGGTTACCGTGGGGCTGCGGGGACCCCCAGATTACTGGGGGGCTTCCCAGATTACTCTGGGGCAGCATGGCCTCGTGGTTACCCAGCCGTCCTCGAAGTCCGTGTTGCTGGAGCTCGGGGCTGACCTTTAACCCACATGGGCCGGCCTACCTTGAACTTCTGTCCTTCCAGCGCCCCAGGCGGCTGCGGGCTGTCACCGAAAGACCAAGTGTAGACATTCAGCCCAGGCTGTGACCACGTCCCTGAAGTGGCGTCCAGCTTTCTGTGAGTCCTTCCAGCAGGCCTGTTTTTAAAAGGCACTTGACTCAGAATTCTTGTATAATTTTGATCATGTGGATGAGACCTAGATCCATGGTTTCCCATGCTGCTTTCTTCATTTCACCACCCTTGGCTGTTGGCTCTCCCGTTCAGTGGCCAGCCGTGGTTCCACTTATTCTGAGGCAGCCCAGCTTTCTCCTTTGGTAGTAAAACAAAACTTTAGCCAAACAGGACATAGTTTACCACCCCACCCAAAACTTTCAGATCTTAGAGCTGTTCTGAAGAATAGTAGGATTTTTGTTCCTCAGAGGGAAAATAACCATTTACTATAAGACAAAGTTAATTTTTGGATTTTGAGATAAGTAGCCTTTCTAATTAGCAGAAGGTCATTTAAATTTGTTGGAATCTTAACATTTTCTTAGGTTGCAAAATGCTAAAATATTAAACTAGGGATTTTAACACTGCAACTGTGTATGAGCAAAGGGTTCAGCGCTTCATTTTGATAACCAGGAAAATGAATTTTAGCACAAGTAGGCCATGATTTACTTTTGAGTAACAAAAATACTTTTTTTTGGGGAGGGGGTGTCTATAAAGCCAGAATGAGCTGTAGAGCATGGTCTAATGGGAAAAATACTGAATTTGAAGTCAGAAGACCTCAGTTCAGTCCCCTATTCCACCATATCTTTGTGACATTGGGAAAATCATTTATCTTTGGGCCTCAGTTTTTACATCTGTAAAATGATGAGGTTGAACAAAATGATCTTTTAAAATTCCTTGCTATTTGAATTCTACAATCCATTTTTTGAAGCATTTATAGGAATCAGTAAAATAGTGCTAAACAATTCCAGGTTGTTGGTGGGAATTGGGTGTTACTTTGATTAACACCAGAATTAATTCACTAGTATAGACCTAGCATGTACTTATTAGTATTTATTATGTACCTAGCAATACTTCTGTTGCTTTAATGTCAGATGTGCTTGATATTTCAGACTTACTGGTATGTAAGTTTCATTCTTGTTTGGAAATTAGTATCTTTTTGATCAGTTCGTGAATACTCATTAAGTTAAAATCTCAGTAGTTAATTTTATAACTGTGGCATAGGGGATGGAGGGCTGGCCTTGAAGTCAGGAAGACCTGGGTTGAAGTCCTGCATCTGACATATACGCTGTAAGACCATGGGTAAGTAACTTCCTCTCTCAATATCACTAGCCAGTAGTCTAACGCTACATTTCAGAGGGGTTGCTCACTTGTATCAGTGATAGGTTGTTGTTGTTTGGCCTTCTTCCTGAAGAGGACATCAGGAAGGTGATGCCATGACTTTCAAGTAAGTTGGATTTAAGTGAGGGAGGGCTGTGCAAAGTCCCCAGCTTCACTTTCTCTTCTGGATCCATGTGGATCCAGCAGCCAGATATAGATCAGGACAACTGGAGATGGCCCCGATCAGTGATAGGAATTTTTTACATTAAGAATGGTTTAATCACTCAGCCTAGTGAACCCCAATTCAATTCTAGAGAACTCATGGCAGACCACATATACTTCCTGACAGAGAGGTGGTGAACTTTAGATAGAGAAAACAACCCATTTTCAGACACTGCCAATGTGGGATTGTGTTTTACCTGACTGTGCTTATTTGTTACAAGGATTTTGTTTTTTCTTTTTTTCAGTGGGGGAGGGGAAGAGGCAGGTGTGAAGAAGAAGGAGGTTGGGAATGGGGTTTCAAAAAAAAAGGGAGGAAAAAAGGAAGAGAAGAGGACAATTGAAGCATTTCTTTTTTCCCCCACTTAATAGTATTTTTTTTTCAATTACATGTATAGTTTTCAACATTCACTTTTATAAGATTTTGAGTTCCAAATTTTTCTCCCTCCCCAAGAAAACAAGCAATCTGATATAGGTTATACACATACAATCATATTAATCATATTTCCGTATTAGTCATGTTGGGAAAGAAGAATCAATAAAAAGGGAAAACCACGAGGAAGAAAAAACAAAAAAAAAGGGTGAAAATACTAGAAGCCTTTCTTAAAGTACACAGAAGACAGCCAAAGAAACTCCAGAAGGAATCACAAGCTTGGAAGATTAGATGTTAAAATTTATTTTATCTTTAAAAATTGTCCATAATAGAGATTGGCAGTAACATGTGCAGTCTTCTCTTTTGTTCTCCTGTTCATACAAAAATGTTTATTTGGTGTTCAGAATTGTTTAAGTCCCTGGTCTAGATTCCGTCCCCCCAATAATTTCACTTATGATTTGTGGTGTTCCCATTTTCCTTTCATAGTAAATTGGAGTCATTTCCATTTGTTCTATGTGCAAAACACTTCCCAAGTGCTAGAGGTACAAAAATGAAACAGCCCCTGCTCCAAACAAGATTATGTTGTAATGAGAGGGCACAATGTGTACGCAACGAAACAGTAATTTGAGAAGGGAATGAGCACTCATGATTTAGGTGATTCAGAGAATAAATGAACGAAAAAGTATTAAGTGTTTGCTACATGGCAGGCACTCGGGGATTCAGAGAGAAAGTCCTAGACAGTCCCTGCTCACACTGATTGGTGAAGACACACATAGAAGTCCGGCTACGTCGTGGATGCCAAAGTCCAGAAATTCCAAGGGTTCAGCAGTGCAGGTGGCACTTAGGATAGAGGCAGGGTAGCTGGTAAGGCCTGAAGGGCCTTAGGAAGCAGTAGCAGGTGTATGGCTTTCCATTTTACTGAATGGAATGGATGGCTCCTGCCTCATCTAAGCCATATGAATAGTCAGGCAATTCAGATGGGTTCTGACTGACTCTGGCCTAGCTGATGGAGGAAGGGGTCCACCAGAGTGTGTGGGTGTGGAAATCTTCCCAAAGGGCAATCTTGAATGAGTTCTTAGATAACTAGGAACCTTTTAGAAAGACAAGGTCAGAATTGGGGAGGCAGTATATTTCTTGAATAAGGATTGTTTTGAAAAATCCTGGAGTGTGTAAATGGTACCATAATATTAAAACGGGCAGATATTCCAATTTTCAAAAGAGGGAAGGGATAGCAGTCTGTGGACTATATAAGCTAATGAATTTGACTTCTATTCCTGGCCCAAAAAATTTTTTTTAAATTAGTTTTAAATAAGTTTTTATTCTCATTCCCCTCCAGCCTTGCTGCCAATTGAAAATCTTGGCAAGACTCCAAAACAAATGAACAGGTCTTTCTAGGCTGACGTAATTTACTTTTTTGACAAGGTTTCTTAATCTGTTACATAAGAGAAATGCTCTAGATACAGTTTATCTAGATTTGACCAAAGCATCTGATAAAATTTCTGCAGCCTTTCTTGTGGACAAGGTGGAGAAATGGAGGTTAGATAGCAGGTGCCTTCAGGCTTGGTGAAGGACCACAGACCTCATGAGTTGATCACGCCCTTCCTGGCTGGTGATATCTTGCACGGTGGTCTCTCGTGGACCAACCCAAGCCATGGGTGTGTTCTTTGTCATTTTCATATATGAGTTGGATGAAGGTGCAGATGCCATGCTGGCATTTGTGGATGGCACAAACCTTAAAGGGATAGCTGATGAATCGTATGGCAGAGTAAGGCTCCACAGAAGTCTCAGGTTTACTGTCATGGAAAGAGCATGGAGTTTGGGGCCAGAGGAGCTTGTTTCAAACCCCTGTCTGCCATTTTGTTACTTGAGTTGGCCTTGAGGACATCGCTTTGCCAGTCAGCCTCAATTCCTCTGTGAAATGGTGAGGGGGGGCTCATTGAATCGTGGATTTAGAGCTGCAAGGAATGTTAGAGAACGTCATTCCAACCCCTTTGTTTTCGTCTGAGGAAACTGAGACACAGAGAGGTTAAGCCACTTACTGAAGATCCCACAGTTAGCATCTCAGGCAGGACTTGGAGACTCATCTTCCTGACTCCCCGTCTGTAATCTGTGAGATCTTTTTTAACTCTAAATCTGTGTTGGTTTTTTTCTTTTTTGCTAGGCAGTAGGGTTGAGTGACTTACCCAGGGTCACACAGCTAGTAAGTATCGAGTGTCTGAGGCTGGATTTGAACTCTGGTCCTCCTGACTCCAGGGCCGGTGCTCTATCCGTTGCACCACCCAGCTGCCCCTAAATCTGTGTTCTTAAGGTGAAGTTTAAGAGATGAACGTACATTCTTGCACTTGGGTTAAAGAAAATCCATTTCAGAAATACAAGTTGAAGGAGACATGGCTGTATATTTAGCAGGTCATTTAAGAAGATCTGGAACTTTAGCGGACCACAGACTCAGACAGGACAATGCAGCCAACAAATGAGCCAACGTGACCTTGGGCCCTGTTGTCTGGAGCAGGAGATGTTGATCTCTCCCAGAGCACATCCTCCAGGCTGAGTGGTTCTGGGCACCACATTTTAGTCAGGGGGAGAGTGACCAGGAAGGTAAAGGGCACCAAGGTCTTGCCATTTGAGAATTGGTTGAAGGAGCTGGAGTTAGGGTATAGAGAGGATGGGGCATGCTGACCGTCTCTGTGTTGTAGGGTTGTCGGAATTAGCGCTGGGAAGAAGGAAAAGGTGCTCTCAGAAGTAACTCCCTTCTCCCAGAGGTCTCCCAACAGAGGCTGGATGCCTGCCATGTCAGATGGTGAAGGGCTGGGTTTGGCCTAGAGGGCACCCAAGGCCCTTTTAACCCTTTAGATTCTGTGCTCAAAGACAGGCTGTTGGATTCAGGGAACCTCCTAGTTCTTTGGCTAGAACACAACCTGTCTGAAGGGGTATCATGTAAATGTCATCGGAAAGGAGTTTGGACAGGACCTGCACAGCCTTCCCTGCAGCCTGAAGCCTTTGTATGTTATCTGGAACAGAGAGCCACTGAAGCTTTTGGAATTAGTGAGCCAGACCTGACTTAGGAAGATAACTGACAGCCAGCTAGAGGAGAGGCTAGAAACCAGCAGACCAGATCCAGCCTCCTCATTCTACAGGTGAGGAGGCTGAGGCCCAAGGAAATCATACAGATGGTAAGCGTCAAGAGGTAGGATTCGGACCCAGGTTCTTCAATGCCACAGCCACTCTGGCCACTGAATTGGGTCCACTCTTTGTTTGTCTTTTGATGGTGCTTTAAGGTTTACAAAGTGCTTTATTGCCTCATTTTATCATTATAACAACCCTGGGAGGCAGCTGGTTTTATTATGCCCATTATAAGGATGTAGTAACTGAAGCAGACAGGGTTAAATGCCCACAGTCACATAGCTGGTAAACATCTGAGGTAAATATATTAAATAATTAAAATTAATTATAAGGTGGTTGATGAGAGAACAGATATCTGCAGCGAGCATCCTATTGAATGAATAAAACGATCATTTTTTTATGTTTTTGAAAAGTTTTGAGGTTTATTGCACATCTGTAGTGTGCTAAGCATTGGTGTGAACGTATAAAAACATGATACCCATGCCCAAAGACTCTGCATGTTAATAGAAATTTCATATTCTAAACAATTGAATAGAAACTAAACTTAAGAAAATAAAGCTAACTTGCAAAAATGTGAACAATTTGGTAAACCCTGTGATTTCCCAGTAGATGGTGCTGTGGTTGATAGGAGTTGTAACAAAACTATGGTTTTAGACTAAAAAAAGCAAAGCAGCTTTAAAAAAATGAACATTTCTTTGTTTCCCATTCAGTTGAGTAGAATATGCAACAGCTTAATCACTACGTGATGTTCCATTGTACAGATAATTAATTTGGTAGCAATTAGTTAAAATATTGAGTATTTTAACTTTTAACTATTAGCATAGCAGTTCTCTCATGGCAGTTGGTTTAAAACAGAAACAAACATTTGGTTAGCCTAACTTTTTTGTCTCCTGACATGGACTCCAGGAAATGTTAAGGGAGTGAAGAGAATTCAGGGAAGAGAAAATGAGAGAAACAAAGCAAAAGCATGGGAGAAGGGGTGGGTGGGGCAAAGACTAGGAGAAAGGAGAGTAGATTACAGCAAACTCTTGACTCCTAATTATGATGAGATTTATCATGATACAGTGTTAGTGGGGGAACATTTGTTTTTTTTTTAAGTAGAGTGTTCTTCCCAGCTTTCTTCCCTACATGGAAACAGTTTGGGATGGAGAAAGATGTAGTTATCCTTCCACATCTTGGCAGCCCCATGATTTGGAAAATCTGCATAAAATTTTTTTGGCTTTTTCTTCATACCAAAGAAAAAGTCTAAATTTTTTCTTTTATGGGGTTTTTGTTTTTTATTGTAAAATTTGGCTTGACATGATACAATACTGTAATATGTTTTATGCTTTCTGAGTTTCTCAGCTTTTTCTGTGTTGTCTGTGGCTTCTACAAGACTCCCCCCCAAATTCCCATTTAACTTCTTATGCCAACCCTCAGTGTATCAAAACCGCATTGGGGAAAGTCGTGATGTGGAAGGGATAACTGTAGAGGGATAGAGAGAGAGATAGACTGGAGGGGGTGTGTGTGTGTGTGTGTGTTTATGTGTGCACACGTGCGTGCATGCGAGCACACACACACGCACAAAGGTATAAAATCAGGAGAGGGAATGTGATTTTGCTGGTGTAGAAAGCACTACCAGTGAAGGTTGGTATTTTCAACTTAACAGTCACAGTCGGTGTTTCAGTGGCAAGACTTGAACCCAGCTCTTTTGGTTATGTTACTCTTAAGAGCTCTCGGTAAGTTCTCACGGTGCATTTTACGGCTCTTCCTAGTAGTCAGTTTAGGGTCATTTTCTCTTTGGCTCCATTGGACTGATACACTAAGTAATTGCCTACCCTCTTGCATGCCCTACAGCCTGCTGTGCTTAGAACCTGGAGTTTGGAAGCCTGGATTTAAATCTCATCCCAGACACGAGCTGTGACCACAGCTAGTTCCCTCTGAGAGCCTTAGATATTCCATGTTGGTAAAATAGGGAAGGTTGTATTTGCATTGTTTCCCTTTGGTGAGGATAACAAGGCCTTCCACGGTTGTTAAGGTGTTAAAGAGTGTTATTGTCCATTTGGCTTTTAGTAAGAGGATTTTCTTATGTCCTCCAGTCTCTAGTGTTTTCCCAGTCCATATCCTGTGTGTGCCTTTGTAAGCACCTGTGGCTTCCCTTATCAAATGGGAATTCTTTGAGGGCAGGGCTCTTTTCGCTTTTTCTGCATAAGCCCAGCCCTTAGCAGCATCCAGTACATAGTCAGTGATTAATAATTGCCTGTTGATTGAATGGCTTTTTTTTTTCCCAGATGTGGATTGTTGGGTCATTCTCTTTTGAAGAGGATCACAAGATAATAATTTTATAGTTGAAGAAGGACTTAGATTTTATCTAGTCCATCCCCTCATTTTACTGATGGGGAAACTAAAGCCTAAAGAGGTTGTTACATGCCTACCGTGGGTAGTAAATGGGAGGAATTTGAACCCAGATCCTGAGTATAAATCTCACTGGATCCTCATCTTATGGGTCTTTATTGAAATTCAAGCATTTAAAGATTTAAAATCTCCTAGATTTAAAAATGAATTTGAACCCATTTCTTTCATGTAAATGCTGGGTCTTTTTTTGTTTCTGGCTTTTTAATCTTAAAAGGTGAAAAGTAACCCCATATTTTCATAATTTGTTAAAAGAAGAAGGAGCGTGTTTTTTAATTATTTCACGTATTAACATCAGTCACAAGAAGCAGATTCTTGTGTCTAAAAGCACATTTCCAACATAGATGACTATTTTCTCACAAGATTATAATTGAACAAGCAAACTATACGAAGTGGGAATGTAAATGTTCGCCCAGTATGCACATTTTTATTAATAGTGAGCACAGTACGTTGATTTTATATTCTCCCAGAAAGTTAAACTGGCTTTCTGAAAAGCTTTTAAAGACATTTCTGGAGGACCTAGAATGGGCATTTCATTCATTCTTTGGGTTACCTGAGGCAAAGACGGCAGGTGGTTCCCATGCAGTCTTAAAGAGAGATTTGGGGCTCCTCAACAGGCCCTGTACCGCTGTGCCCCTTGCTACCTAGACTAGCGTGTCCTCTGCTTTAGAAGACGACTTGGCAAAGGGTTGGGGATTGAGGAAGCTGCCTGGTGTTTTCATGCCAGGAACTTGCACCTTTGTACAGTATTGGGATAGGACTTGGAAGAAAAAACCCTGAAGTTAACTTTACCCGCAGGTTTTTGCAATGGAAGCCACCTTGACTCTGGAAGTAGAGCGCCTGGGTTCAGATCCTTCCTCTGTCATTTACTCTGTGAGCTTGGGCAAGTGTCTTTACTTTGGGAGTCTTAGGTGGCCCCTGAGGGCCCTTCCCCTTGGAGGCCTAGGACCTCAGATTCAGAGAATGGAATAGGTCTAAATTTATTCTCCAGCTGCCTCATAGACATCTCCAGCTGGATGTCCTGGAGACTCCTCAAACTCTGTCTGAAACTGAACTCATCTTTCCCTCTTTTGAAATTTCCTCTTATTCTTAAGGGCACCTGCCTTCCGACCTGAAAGTCCTCACTCTTTCATCCCCACCCCACCATCCAGGCTATTGCCAAGGCCCCTTGGTTTCACCTCCGCAGCATTTCTCAGATACGCCCCTTCTCTCCTCTGACACTGCCCCACCCCTGGTCCAGGCCCTCCCCCAGAACCTCATGTCTGAACTATTGCGTTTGGGGGTGGGGGGGGGGCTGGCTACCTCAGGTAGCTAGCTCCCCTCCAAGCCATTCTTCACACAGCTGACGGAATTATTCTGACGTTCCAGTGCACCAAGGGCAGGCTATAAATTCTTCTGTCGACTTGAAAGGTCCTTCGTTATTTGGGTAATTTGGCCCCTGGCTAGCTCCTCAGCCTCATTGCAGGTCCCCCATCTCCTGCCTCTCTGCACATTAGTCCTGTCCATGTCTCATACTTCTGGTGTATCCTGTTCCCTCCCCCCCGCCACTCCCCACCTCATCAAATCTGTTGCTTGTTTCAGAATATAACTGGAGCATCACTTTGTGCAGGAAGCCTTTCCTTATCCTCTTGTATGAGGCAGCTAGTGGTCACAGTGAATAGAATGTCTCATTTGGGGTCAGGAAGACTAGACTTCAAATCTTTCCTCAGGCAAATAGTAGGTTTGGTACCCTGGGCAAGTCCCTTAATCTCTTTCGGCCTCAGTTTCCTTATCTGTCAAATGAGATAGTACCTATATAACAGGGTTGTTGTGAGAGAACAAAATCATACCTGTAAGGTGCTTTCCAAACCTTAAATCCTAAAAATGTTACCTATTACTGTTATATGTTGGGTCTACCAAAAGAATAGAAATTCTTCCAGAGCAGGGATTGTTTTGGTCTTTGTCTCTCTGGTGCCAAGGTCAGTACCTGGCATGTAGTAGGGAACTGGTACATACTTGTTAATTAACTAACAGAGGTTCTTAGCCTTTTTATGTGTCCTGGACTCCTCCTTCTGCAGTGAGGGGGAGCCTTTACACCCCTTTATCTTATTTTTAAATCCATAAAATAAAGCACATAGGATTATGAAGGAATACCCAAATATAGTTATCAGTACTTTTTTTAACTTCCTAGACCTGAGGCCAGGAACCCCTGCTAAACACTTACAGGGATAATGTCAAAGAAGCTCTCATTTCCATTGTTATTAGTAATAATGATATTATATTATAATAATAACTAGGGCTGACTGCCAGAAGAATAACCTGCCTTTGCCTCCTTTCCTCTTCTTTTTAAAATTTAGGCTTTCAGGTGTGTTCTAGCCTCTGCCCTGTTGCACCATGGCTCGTGCTTTTGTCAGCTCCCCCTTATTGAAAGGCTCTGCTGGAATGTTCTGCCCTCAGGCTGCATTGTCACCACGGAGGCCCAAAGGCTTGCATCACTTCACCGGGAGCTGGTATGTCCTGTGTGCTCTATGACATTGGAGGCTGGGGAAACTTCATTGGGCACAGTAGGCTTCTCAGCTTTTACACATCAGTCACCCTTTAGGTATGACGAGCTGAAGATGACTTACTTGTTATTTCTTAAGATTCTGCCTGCTCGCTGGTATCTTTCAGATTTGCCTTACTGTGCATGATAACTTGATTCATTGCTTCTCTAAAGGGTAGGCATAGTAAAATTCTGATTTTGTTCTTTAATTAGCATATCAAAATCCCAGAAGAAAATCAATCACTTGGAGAGGACAGCAAAAGTGTTTCGACATGAGGTCAGTGTGTTTATATTGTGCTGTGATTTTTCTGTCTTCTTATCCAGTGAAGTATGGGGAAGTCCCACCTGATGCTGTTGGTTGCCTTTTCTGGCTAAGTCTGCATAATGATAACTGACATTGAGGTAGCTCTTTGATTTATAGAGCACTTCCCTTGGAACGATCCTGTGAGGAGGTGGAGGAGAGCAAGTGTGAACCTTTGGTTTACAGAGGAGGAAACTGGGCTCGGAGACAGTTTGTAGGACTACTGACCCAGAACCGAGAGGGAGCCCAGGTTGGCAGTCAGGCTTCCCACATTTTGCAGATGAGGGACTTGGCCAGATTACACAGGGAGGCAGCATCGAGAGCTTGGTCCTTTTACGCGCCACATGCTGCCCGCAGAGGTCATTCTCTTTATGGGTGCAGGTGACAGGCGCTTGCTAACTTCTACCAGAGTCAGGGTGGTGTGGTGAGATGGCCCTCCTCCAGGGGGGAGCATGCCAGATCTGAACTGTCGTTGGGGGTAGGGATGAGCTCACGTAGAGTTAGACTCTGAAATGAAAGGACATTTTACAAGCCTTTGCCTTAAAATCCTTGTTCTCCCTCCTGCTGTAGAACAACTTCTCATTCCAGCATGTGAGAGAGCAAGCAGAAGGTCTTTTTCCTTGTCCCAAGTGCAGAATTCCCACCACGTTCAGAGAGACCCCTGGAAAGCTTTTCTACTCCGTGAAGGGGTTTCATGGCATGGGAAGGACACTCACCCTTTCCCTCTGTGAGTAGCCCCGTTTTCATTGAGTATCTGAAAATGAATGTTTGATCTAGTCAACGATTTTCCATGTCCATACTGCTAAATAATGTTAATGTTTTAAATAAAGTTTTCATTAGTTTTTTTAAAGCCTACAAATGTCACATGCTAAATTTTGTTATTCTGTGTAATGAGACTGTGCGTAGGGGAAAAAAACAACAGACACTAGTAGTAAGGAAGATGTCATGATCCCCCTGCTCGTCCCTGTTCACATGTATGTAGTGCTCTGTGCTTGCCAGACTATTTTCTTTACTTCCTAGCCCTAAGTCCAGTGTTCTTTCCATTGCTTGGCACCATGATATACTGAAGAACTTGCACATCTGTGGAAGTCACTGGGGGGGGGGGCAATGATGACTCTTAAATTGCCAGTTTGCGTTGGTAGAGGGAGCGTGCTCACTAGGGACCTCCTCCACTGACGAAATCATAGGTCCAGTCCAAATCATCCAATGAACAGGACTGTGGAAAGAAATCTGGAGACTCTTGTAAGTATAGAGTGGGGAAGGATTGTAGAAATCCTCTTTCTAACCTGCTCTTCACCCCACTTTTCATATGAGAAAACTGAGGTCCAGGCCCTGAAGGAGTAACTCCCCAGCTCACCCAGTGATGAAAACAAGGCTGTCCGGCCTCTTGGCTTCAATGCCCTCTACCGTGCCCCATGTCAGGCCCCAGCTGCTGCTACTTTCAGAAAAGAGGATATTTTGGAAGGGGAAATCACTTTTCAACCTAATTCTACTCTTAGAAAGTTGCTTTGGGACTAAAATTTTATGTGTTTTGGATTAGCCTTGAGCCAGAATTTTCTGGGGAAATTTGAATTACATTGGCTTAGCTACTCCAGATTCATATGACATGGGAACATACACCTTTCATGTTGGGTTTTTAAAAATCTGTTTTTAAAAAATCTGTAAAAAAAAAATTTTTGTCTTGTTCAGCCCAAAATTGCTGGATTGGTAAAGCTGAGATTTTTTAGCTCTCTTTAAAGGATGACAACCATGCCAATTATGAAGAAAATTAGTTAAATGTGATGGCATGAAGTTTTTTTTTAACATGTTGTGAGTTATACTTTTTTCTTTTAAAGCTGGTCCAATTAGAATATTCAGTGAATACTTCTAAAAGTTGAAAAAGGCCTCTTGACTGTGCTGTTAATAAGGTGGTTGGGGTTTTTTTGGGGGAGGTGGGGTTTAAGCTATGTCTCAAGCTTAAAGAAAGTTAATGCAGACTCTTAATAGTACTGTTCAAAAAGTTTTGAGAATCAGCGTATCCAGAAGTCAGGACATTATAAGATTATGTTTCCTCCCCCAAGACCATCTTAAGAAAAATTGGCATGGCTGAAAGCTGAGTCTTTCAGCACTCTTCTACCAGTGTTCCAGAAAGTCCTACTATGTACAGAGCACACGGTGTGCTAGGGCAGTGTAAAAGTTTAGTTAAAACATAATCCCTGTCCTCATGGAGCTTAGATTGTAGTAGAATGATATGTGCTAGGATGTCAGTCGCTATAATGCAAAGTTAGACTTTCTCCTTACATCAGAGAAGGTGCCCAGAGTTAATTAGGACCAGGGGCCAGGCTAGAAAGTCTTTCAGATAAGAGCTGTGTCCATGCACGCTGTAAAGGTCGGTTTGAGGACTGTCACATGAAGGTTACGTGGGCTTGGGGTAGCTCCCTGGGCTGCGTCACAATGAAAACATTACAAGATGAACCATGGAAAGAAAAGCTCTTTGCTTAGAGATTCGTTAAAAAATGCATATTTAATGTATATTTTAGGATATTGATTTATATTGTGTTATTTGTGCAGTGTATCTAAAGTATATGCTTTTATAGGAAAATAGAGCTTTGGAGTTGACATTTGCTTACTTGTGTTTTCAAACTTAAAGTATTTTTTGTAGTCCAAATAACCGAAAGGTTGTGATAACCTTAAATATCTCAAGGTGATAATGAATTAAAGGGAGGAAATGAAATATTCTCATGAATTAAAAGTTATATAAGCAAGAATAATATTCCACTGGGAGATTAGGCAAGGTTCTTAGCAGAAAAGGGGCCAGAGGAAGCACTCCCTATTTTGAAGAAATTCATGGTTTGTGGGAGCGGGAGGGTCCAGTCAAGATTTTCTAGTGTAGGCCCATCACTTAACAGGGGAGGCTGCAAGAAGGTGTTAGTGATGGGCCCCAAATCATGGGGCACCTGTCGTTATCTGAGGGTCACATGCAAAGAAACCTTAATTTGTAAAGCAGGTTGGATGTTTAGGGCTTGGACAAGTGCATAGAAAAATTGTCTGAAAGTCTGTATTAAGTGTGGTTATCTCATCTTACAGCAGAGATGGAAAAAAATAATCATTATAAAACCCAGGCTACAAAGCTTAGGAAATTTGTGTTTGAATGTCAGATTTTCTGTTCAGCTCTGATCTTTTTATCAGGAGTGCTTGAAAGTCCTCTGTTTCATTAAATATCCATTTTTTTCCTCTGAAGAATTATATTATTTTGCTCTTATGTGTGTACCAAGACCCATTTCCTGGTCAGAGTCTCACATCAGTAGTAACTTCAAAACTGTCTGTGTAAAACTTCTTTAATCAGTAGAATTGTATTTTTTTATGCTGATATTATTAAGCTTTAAAAATATATCTACAAGTATGTGTGTATGTTTTTGTATGTATGTATGTAAACTAACATAAGTTGGCAAAGTCATTGTTTTAGAGGACATTAGAAGTGTTTAAATATTATTTCATGGAGAAATTCCTTTCCTGCCATGTGTTTTAAGTTACAGCATGTCTGGTTAAAGCCTCAGTTTCTCAATCTTTGGATCATTAAGCATGAAAGTAAGCACAAACATCAAAAGTGTTTGCTTTTCCAAACAAAGTAAAGAAACAATAGCACATAAGAAGGTTGTAGACCACAGAGCATTTTAGAAAAAATTGGAAAAGAATCCTCTGTGTTTTCTTGCTTAATAATTAGAAGAAACATGAGCAGGCAGGTCACGTGCAGGGAGACTGTGCCTTTGGGGAGCATCGCCAGGCCCCACGCTGGATCCTGGCTGTGTGTCAGCAGGAGACCTCTGCCTCGGCAGGCAGGCTCCAGCAGAGCGTTTCCGAGCTCCTCACTGCTCGGTCTCCTGCAGGCCAGAGGGCACAGTGAAGCCGTGTTCTGGTTATTCCTGGTTCCCACAATCAAATGAAAAACTGATAATTGTATAATGCTTACATAACCTTTTCTACAAAGTCACTGTAGTGCACGTATTTAGACATTAGCAAAATGCTGCTTCATTTCAGAGGGCTCTTATGAATTGTAGAGAATTTGAATGTTTAATTTTTATTTGTTTGTGTCGAGATCCTTCTTTTATACTGCGAACTGTACTTTCATTTCCCCTGTGCCTGCGCTACATAGGCTTATGATTTCTTATCTTTAAATTTTGAAATAATGTTGACAGATGGAAGTTAAGCGTTTTGAAATGAAACAATGCATCTGCCAGGTACATTTTTTAAAGGTTACTGTTACTGAAAATTAGTAGTATTGATAGTAAAATAAGCATTTTCTTCCAGGGGAGAGGAATTACATTATGGAAGTTTCTATGATGCTTTTCATTTGCTGTCTTTGTGTTTAGATTTTAAAAAATCAAATATGTTGGAAATAAGAAAAAAGTCCTCTTCCTCAGAATAATAACTGAGACAAAGTGTTTCTCTCCCTTCCTATTCCCAAGTTGTCAGATTTAGTAACCCAATTTTCTTTAATCTTAAAAAAAATGAGGGAAACCTTCCATTATTACTACTTCCTCCTATTCTAGGAACTAATTTTCAAGTTATCTTTACTAAAGTTTTCATTCAACATATATACATCAATCACTTCCTTCCTATAAAGCACTGCATAGGATATATTGGTGAGCACAGAGACAAGTAAGAGTATATAGAGCCCTTCCTCAGACAACTTGTAATCTAGTGAGGCAGTGAGAGGAAAAGTAATAAGCCTGCGTTAAATGCTTATTGTGTGCCAGGCACTGTGCCGAGTACTTTCCAGATATCGTCTCGTTTGATCCTCGACAGCTCGGGGGGTACATGCTATTATTCTCTCCATTTTGCAGTTGAGGAAACTAAGGCCAAAAGAGGTTAAGTGATTGGCCAAGGGTCACACATTTAGGCAGTGTCTGAGGCTGGAATTGAACTCGGGTGTCCCTGGCCTGACTGAGAGCTCTGTGTGCTCTGCCACGAGCAAGGAGATGCTGCAGATTTTAAATTGATAGGTCATTATCAGAGTGGGATTTTAAGTAAATTAATCTTGTGAATTAGGTAAGGCAGAGATTCACAGCATAGATAAAGAGTTAGTAAGATTTGTTAATAATAATCATAAGATTTGGTAACAAACCCAGTTAGGGTGAGAGCAATCAGAACGGAAAAGGAGGAGTCTCCAAGTCTCTGCAGCACCTTGACTTTAGGGGGTGAAGGAGAGGGTAGTCAAGAACGGCTTTGATGTTTTGGGTGTGGGTGACCAGGCTGGGCTGTTCATTGTGTGAAGTTTCAAGTTCTAGAAACACACAAGATTGGAAAAGGCCAGCAAGTGGTTGGGAATTTGGAACTGGAGGTCAGGTGAAAGGTCAAGGTTGAGAAGGGAGTCTCGGGAATTATTTGCATGAGTCTTGGAACTAAATGAAGTCACATTGGGAGAGAAGAGGGCCAAAAACCAGAGTCTAAAGTGATGCTCACATTAAAGGGGCCCACTGAAATGAGGTGCCCATGTGAAGGGGCTAGGAGGAAGTACCAGAGGAAAACCCACAACATGCACTCTCTTGTTAGCCCAGGAGAGAGTGAGTGTCAAGAAGCCTTGATCAAGTAGTCAGCCCCCAGTGTGAAACGCTTCAGAGGTCAAGGTGGATAGAGCCAATTCCATCGTGGAGATACAAAAGGGGGGGGGCAGGGAGCATGGGCCAAGGGTAAAGCTGCTTTGTGAGTGACGGAAGTTCTTTGGGCTACGCATTGATGATTTGTGTGGCAGAATGTCCAATTGCTAACTTAAAAGTGAATTTTGGAACACAGTTTTAAGTTAGGAACTGTCGATACCTGCATGAGGGTACCATTTGTCTGGGTTGACTATAGAAATGGACTTTAATAGCCTGAACGATTTTATATCCCTCTGGTAAGTGAATAGCTCATTCTTCATAGTATGAACAAAGTGCACATGTTGAGAGGAGAAGGGGCAGTTGGGCCAGGGAAGCGTGAACAGATAAATACTTAGGGTCATCACTATGGCGGTCATCCAGTGTTTCAAGGATTACCACTTGATTAGGCTTGTTCGGCGTGGCCTTGGTGGGCAGAGCCTGAAGTGAGGGTGAAAACTGCAGAGAAGCGTTTGGGCTCCACGTGAAGCAAGGGGAAGAGGCTGTCCTGAGAGGGCAAAATCAGATTAAGCTAGTCTGATAGTTTACCTCCCCAAAGGCTTCCTGAATTCTCTTGGTAGACACATTGTCTGATCACCTTTCTTTGGTTTTGCTTCTGTAGAATTATCTGTGAGGAGCAGTCCCATGGATTTTCTAAATTGACATACCGTATGGTGCTCTGCCCTTGAGTTACTGAGAGGTTTTGTGGGTGGTTTGTAAATATAACAAAATCACGGTGCCCTTTTCCTGCTTTAGGTTGTGAGTTCTGCTAAAGTATGTGGGATTATCGATGAATCAGAAACTGTTCGCAGGCTCCGTTTGCTGGTCACCGATAAAAGTTTTACGTTCAAAGCTGGTCAGTGGTAAGTTGTTTTTACTTTCTTCACATGGTGCATGGAGGGGCAGATTCTGTCATTGCTCCTGCATTTCATTGTTTTTGTGGGGAAAGCAGATCCAGATCTTTGGTTTCCTGACTCCTGAGGAGGCTCTCTTGTAGCTGTGGGCATTGGTAGCTGCCCTGCAGTTTAGAGTCTGAGAGGTGAAGGACCTTGTCCACAGTCCCTTAGTCTGCATATGTCCAAAGTGGGGGCCCTGAGCCCAGGTCTTCCTGGCTGAGGCCGGCCTGCTAGCATATGTTTGCTTGATTTTGAACGATGGTAGCTTTTGGCCACCTGACTTATGCAGAGGATGAATACTTTTAATATGTCCATTTTTCTGATTTAGAATAATTAGTGGGGAGTTTACTTTTTTAAGTTTCAATTAAAAATCATTCTTACCAACTCATGCGGTATGGATAGTTGGCTGACAATTCTATAAGTAGTATCTGAGGCTGTGAGGGAGTGAATGAGTCTTTTTATTAATTTTTTAAAATGAACAAGCATTTCTTTTCTCTCCTGTTTCTTCCCCCAGGTCTTTCCTCCCCACATTGTTGTTGTCCATTTGTTTTAGTGGTGTTTGGCTCTTCGTAACCCCATTTGGGGTTTTCTTGGCAACAATCCCAGAGTGGTTGGCCATTCCCTTCTCCAGCGCATTTTATAGACAAGGAAACTGAGGCCAGCAGGGTTAAGTGATTTGCCCGGGGTCACATAGCTAGGAAGTGTCTGAGCCCAGGCAGATGAGTCGTCTTGCCTTCAGGCCTGGCACTTTATGCTCTAGGCATCACTTAGCTGCCCCCTCCCTTCCCCCCCATAACCCCACTGGAAAAAGAAAAAAAAAGAAAGCAAGAAGTTGTTGTCTTCATCATCAGTCTTCTGGAGTCAGGGTCGGTCGGTGTGTCAGGGAGAGAGAGTTCTTAAGTCTTCCATAGTTGTTCATTTCAACAGTGTTGTTGTTATAGCATAAATGGTTCTCCTAGTTCTGCTCACCTCATTTTGCATCAGTTCATAACAAGTCTTTCTCAGCAACTGTCCTGTTCATCATTTCTTGCAGTAAAGAGTACACTATGATTTGTTCAGCCATTCCCTTACCTCCTTGGTTTCTGGTTCTTTACCACCACAAAATTGAGCTGCAGTAAATATTTTTACATATATATTTCTTGGGTCTCTTTAAGGTAGAGGGAATCATTCTTACTACTTCCCTAGCCAGCTTTTCCCAGCGCTGTCTGTGACCTCTACCTGTAAACTAGTTGGAACACAGGAGGCAGACATCTCCCAGCATTCCTCTCACCACTCATTCCATTCATTTAGACATCCACTAATGCCCTTCAACTCATCCACCATTAAAAATTTTTTATGTGTGTTTAATGTTCAGACACTGGCTATCTTCTCTCCCTATCATACTTATCACTACTTTTACCCATTTGGTTAAAAAAAATAGGTAAGGGGGCAGCTAGATGATGCAGTAGATAGAGCACCAGCCTTGAATTCAGGAAGACCTGAGTTGAAATCTGGCCTCAGACACTTGACATTTACTAGTTGTGTTATCCTGGGCAAGTCACTTTACCCCATTGTGTCACCAAAAAAAAAAATAGGAAAGGGAAAGAGAAGAATTTTAGGCCCTGGAGACATGCCAGATTTCTTTGAAACCCACCAAAGTGGTCCTGGGGAGCTGATTGGGGAATAGCAACTCGGACCTTTCCTTGAATAGGAGTGCTTCTGCAGTGTGCAGTGGGAAGCTAGCTGCTGGGTGACTGTCTGGAAATGAATCCTTCCCTCAGAGGATCAGTTATGTATTTTTATAAGACTGAACTGGTGAGTGATCATCAAAAACATACCAGGATTAAAGGGCAATAAAAATGTGCATGCCCTTTGATCCAGCAATAGCACTTCTAGGGCTGTATCCCAAAGAGATCATACAAATGGAAAAAGGACCCACATGTACAAAAATATTCATAGCAGCTCTTTCTGTGGTGGCAAAGAATTGGAAATTGAGAGGATGCCCATCAATTGGGGAATGGCTGAGCACGTTGTGGTATACGAATGTAATGGAGCACTATTGTGCTATAAGAAATGATGAACAGGCTGACTTTAGAAAAACCTGGAAAGACTTGTATGGTCTGATGCTGAGTGAAGTGAGCAGAACCAAGAGAACGTTGTACACAATAACAGCTACATTGTGCAATGACTAATATTGATAAACTTAACCCTTCTCAGCATTACAACGATCTAAGACATCTCTAGAGGAAAATGCTGTCCACATCCAAAGAAAGAACTATGGAAGTTGAATCGCTATCATTTTTTTTTCTCTTCTGTTGAGTTTTGTTTCCTCTTTCTGATGGTTCCTCCTATTGGTTTTAGTTTTTACTTACAACTTCACTAAGGTGAAAATATGCTTTAATATTTTAATAGGAATGTAAATGTAGAACCTATATCAGATTGTGCACCGTCTTGGGGAGGGTGGGGGGAGGAAGGGGGAGAAATTTTAAACTCAAAAGCATATGGAAGTGATTGTTGATAAATCAAAATTAATTAATAAAATTTAAAAAATAACACCAGGATTGAAAGATGAGATTCAGGCTGCGAATTAGAAAATCCAGGCTCTGTAGGAAGATTGTTGCTTCTGGTTATATGGGGCAATTCGGATTTCAGATGAGAAGTTTTGTCACCAAGATAAGTACTGGAATAAAAGCTGCATAAGAACTGTTCACCCTTCGAAGCCGAGCATTATGGTGATAGTGCCTTGGTGAGAATTAGCATAGTCCAAATTCTGATCCTCAGCTTTCGAGGCTCTGAAACTCAGTGTTATTCTGGTGAATCGCTAGAGGGCTGCACTTCGTCAGAAGATCTGGGTTTGAATTTTACTTCTGACATTTATAAGACATGTGATCACTTAGCTGTTTCTGAGTCTCCGTTTCCTCATCTGTAAAATGGGAATAATAGCTGTAGTATCCCAGTGAAGTTAATGTGAGGATAAAGAAATGAGATATTTGCAAATCTTATACCATTCCTATAGCTGCTAATTATGATTACTATGAAGAGACTGATTGGTAAACCATTATGGTGCTTGCTAACTCTGGAGTTGGGGGACTTGGGTTCCAGTCTTACCACTGACATTTGCTCCCTGTGTGGCCTTAGGCAGTTCAGCCTCCCTGGACCTCTGTTTACTCGTGTCTAAAATAAGAGGGTGGACTGAGAACCCTTCCACCTCCAGAGCTTGGATCCCACGTCAGATTGGTGATCTGTGATAAGAAATAACGAAACATAACTGGCACTAAGACCGTCTGATCTGTGCATCATGGGGTGCTTTGCCTGGTAATAAACGCTCATTCAATCAGCAGTTCCTCTTTCTTGACCGAAGCACCAGTAAGCAGTTGTTTGAGGTACACTGAGTTAGAGCCACAGCCCTGCTTCGCCTCTCCAGGGGCCTGGTGACCTGTCAGGTGGCCTGGACGCTTTCTCAGAAGAGTCACCAGCCTGGATGGTGCCAGGCTTCTGCCCTTCCTGAAAGTCCCCATTCTGCTGTGTGTGTCAGTCATCGCATCCCTCTCCTTTCTTAATTCACCATAAGCCCACACCTGTTACTGGTCCCTTAGAGAGCCTGTTATGTGGGTTCCATTGTAGGCCAGCTGCTGATGGTTCCATGCTGCAGCTAATCAGAGAGAGATGTGGGTTCTGGTTATTTTTCATCGCACGGGGAACCCCCTTGAGGCCTAAGCCTCTTGTCCTTGCCCAGCCTGGGTTCAGGGTCCATAGTACTTTTACTGGGAGTCATCTGTGGATCTAGTAGGGCTAAATGGCAAAAGCATGGTGAAGGACGGACTGGGCTTACAGTTTCACTGGCTCTGGTAGTCCCTGCAAAAGGAAACCCCTCTACCCGTGTAGGTTGGCTACCTCTGTGAGGTTTCATTTGTCTGAGAGGTTGTGACTTAGCCAGGGTCACTGAGCCAGTATGTGTCCAGTCTTCCCAACTCCCAGGCCAGCTCTGGCCACTGTGTCTGGGCCTTACACAAGTCAGAAGCAAGCGAGCACGCAGCTCCCGGCTTGCTATGTGTAGGCATCAGCTCCAGGAAGATTGCTGCTAGCAGAATTTAGGGCACTTGTTTAGCCTGGCTCAAAGCTGTGTGTCACTGGGCAGGGGTCAGCAGTCTTCATGCTGAATGGAGGAGATTACGTTCAGCTGCCTGCAGCAGACTGTCGGGGGTGGGGGGTGGGGGGGCCTTGCAGAGAGCCAGTGCTCCTCTCTCTGGTCTTGATTCTGTCTGGGTTGGATTTAAAGAGTGTGCCTAATCATCAGCGCCTCCCGGTTCGTCTGGACACACGTGGAGCGAACCATCACTGTCTCCATCGGCCTCCGTGCGCCTCCTGGGCTGATTGGGACACTGATGGCCTTCCTGCCAGATGTCTGGGCTCCTGGGAGCAGTCCGTGGAGTTTCAGGTCAGGCTGACGTGGACATGGAGGGGTTTGGGTTTTCACGGACTCCTGAGAGGGCGTATGAGCTGGGGGCTCTTTTTTACAGTGGGGTGGCCACCGTTTGAACTGTGTTGAGTTTTCAGCACTTTGGGGCTTGTCAACCTTGATTAGATTTCATCAGCATCTCTTGGCTAATTTTGGCATGGTCCATCTGAAAATAAGTTTTGTTAGAATTGGGAATATGTGAGAGTAGTAGGAGTTAGCGCTCATTTTAAATAGTTTGCCTTTGGATTTAGAACTGGAAAACAAGATGCTGATTGCAATAATTTGCGTTTCTGAAGCAATTTACTGTAATTTTGGCACATGTTCAGTGATACATATTAAATTCTTGGTGGCTGTTTCGAGGAGGGGGAAGGGTGTAGAAAGTATATTTACCCTTCAAGAATTGTTCAACAGTTATTACCCTGTGAAGAGTAGAAGCTTTAATTATAATGACTTTCTTTGCGTTTTTCCCTCCCGTGGCACTGTTCTATCCTGTAGTCTGATTGACGCGGCAGCAGCATCTCAACAGCCTCACTCAGGCTTTCTGCCAGCCACACGACTTTTCCGAAGTAAAAAGCGCATACATGTTGGTTTCAGTGCTGTCGTGGTCAAGCTATTTGTCTTTGAAATTATAAACATTTACTGAGTGTTTATCTGAGCAGTAAAAAAGACTCCTATCTCATTGCTGTTTTACAGAAATAAAATCCCATTTATATTCTCAGTCAAAGTAGAGTTAGCCAGAGGGTACTTGTAATGGTGTTGAAATATATTGTCTGGCTTTGATGCACTCACGTAGTTGAGGGTAAGTGAATTTCTGGGAGAGAAGTATGAATCAGCAATGAATCTGGCCATTTTGTGGACATCATGAGCCGTCTCCGCTGACCATGAACATTTTATGATACGTGTATTTTTTTAGAAGCAAAGAACTCTTTAATTCCTTTTTTCCCCATTCACCATTTATGGTAGGCCAACAAGTAAAGAGATTGGGTTGTTATTTTTTTTTAATCCCCTTTAAAGTCATTACTTTAGGAGTCTTTTTATGGTGATCCTCCCATTGTCAAAATATTTGGAGAACTTTTCATAATGGTTCCTTTGGTCTTGTTCCATGGTGGCCATGGTTTTTTCTGGACCCTCAACAATGATGCCCACTCATCTTTCCAGACACCAAATGTCTGCTCAGAGGCTGAAGATCGGCTGTCTCCAGTGATACTTGAAAGAATGCGCCATACATTCGTAGGCTCTGAAAGGCAGCTGCTGGAGAGAAGCTCCTGAAATGCAGTGATAGTCCTGGATGAGTGTTTGCTTTCTTTCTCAGAGTACTGACTTTGATGAGAGGAAGACCTAGAAGGGAACCCCCAGGCTACCAAGCAGCGTGACTCAGGTTACCCAGAGGCAGGATTCGAATGCAGGACCTCTAATTCAAGGGCCAGTGCTCTTTCTATCATGCCACGCTGACCAATGCTCATGGTAACTATATGGATTTTAGGACGTTTGTTAAAACAGGTTATAGGGACCTCAGAGACCACTGAGTCCACCCTCACCGCCATTTTACAGATGAGGAAACTGAGGCACACAGGGTAAGGGACTTGCCCAGAATTTGATTAAGTCCAATGCCCTGTCTACTTTGCCAGCTGCCTCTCATATCTTTTTTTTTAAGGCAGTTGAGGTTAAGTGACTTGCCCAGGGTCACACAGCTAGTAAGTGTCAAGTGTTTGGTCTGAGGCCGCATTTGAACTCAGGTCCTCCTGACTTCAGAGCTGGTGCTGTATCCACTGTGCCACCTAGCTGCCCCCTCTCATATCTCCTTTAGAGTCAGACTTCATTGTTTTCTGATTTTAATCATTAAAAAGACCTACCCAGACACCCTGAGATGACTTAAGTCTGCCATAGGTTTGAACCCACAAGTGTGCAGGGTTCAAGTTGGGACGGGTTTTTAATGTGACTTATGTCACAGATTCACTTCAGCCAGCATTTTAAAAATTCCTATCATGTGCTAAACATAGGCAAACCGAATCCTCCAGAAGTGTGCAAGTTAATTTGGGGAATAAGAAAAGTGCGTGCATCAGCTGTACTCCAGGGTGAAATGTTAGCAGCAAAGGAGGATGAGTCAGAAGGCTGTAGGAAAGGTGGCAAGGGGAGAGAAGTCTGCACTGGAGGCGGAGGCCTACCCTCAGCCCAGCCCTGGAGGAGGAGGAGGAGGATGTCAGCAGGGTAGATGTGCAGAGAATAGGTTTCTAACATGGTAGACATGAGACTTGAGCTGCGTGAGACCCGAGGCCCCAGGTTCTGGTCTTGCCTCATACATGATGTGATCTCAGCCAGGTCACTTCACCTTCTTCAGCTGCACTTTTCTCATCTACAAGTTCATGGGGGTTATTATTAGCTTTATAAGTCACATAACCTGCCTCACCGTGTGGAAAATCTTAGGGAAAAGGTTGTCTAAATGCGAACTCTCATTCTTGATTTTTAGTGAAAGCGATCTCCTTGGCAAGCCCAGGGGCAGGAGAGCCAAGTGAGGGATTGGGGAGCCCCCACTACCCTGTTTTCTTTCTCCTGTCATCAGTGGGGCCCCACTGAAGACTTTTTAGCAGGGCTGTGACAGAATCAGATCTGGCTACAAAGATAATTCTGGCCACTGAGTGAAGGAGGGGCTGGTGAGGGAGACACTGGATGTGGGCTGCCAAGTAAGAGCCTATGACAGTATTCCAGATAGAAATAATGAGGACCTGAAGAAGGTTAAAGTCAGATGTTAGAGACTGTGGATGTAGAATTGAGAGGTCTGGGAAGTCGATCAGATGTGGGCCCTGGAGAAAGCAGAGTCAGATGATTGCTTAAGGCTTTGAACCCTGGTCATCGTGAGGATGGCCATGTTGTCAGCAGGAAGTGCAATCTGAGGTCGTCTAGCAGAGAATTAGAAATGGAGCCTTGCAGCGTCAGGGCCCCTGCAGAGGGCACGTCCAGGTGCTAGGAGTAACCGAGAGTGGAAGGGCACCGTTTCCTGGTGATTGTGGACATGCCTTTGTCATCCTCTCGCTCTTAGCAGCAGCAGCCATTGATTAAGTGCATGTCATTGGTGGGATGGAGCAGCTGAACTCACAGCAGCGAATGTTCTTTAATTAATCTTCTCTACCTTTAGCATCCCTGTTATACCCAGCAGGAGGCGGGGAGAACACCCTGTCTTCCTGATAATGGTGACGATGCTGCTGTAGCACTGGGCAGCCCTCTGTTCTTGCTGTACAAAACACTTCCACCTCTGTTATCTTATTTGGTCCTCCCAGCAGCCCCCTCAGTTACACTGAGGAGGTAGGGTCTGTGTTTTACATTTGAGGCACCTGAAACTCAGGTCCCTTACACAAGTCACTTGCCCAATGTCAATTAAATGGGAAAGGCAGTACCTGAGGATGATTGAGGCAGAAAGAAAACTCAGGGCAGCCATGCCGTCCCGTCAGCCCAGTCTGGTCGGACCGCCTCCTGTTTACGGAGCAGGAAACTGAAGGGCAGAGAGTGACTGATCCAAGGTCACATGGGTAGGAGGTGTCAGCTGTGGAAGCAGGAGAAATACCATAGAAACCAGACCCATCCTTCTAGATCCAACCCCGCCCCTGCGTGGCCTTCTTTGACCATTCCTGCTGAGCCTCTCGGATGCTCCTGGACTTCTGGGGTGCTTAATGTATTACTCATTATTGAGCAAGCACCTATCAAAGGCAGCCCCTGATCTTTCAATACATTATTTCCCCAAGATTCATTGATGAGTTGACTGCTTGGAATTCAGAATGCATTTGTCCATAGGCTCTTCTGTGCTGGTTTGGTTCCCAGGTCTCCCATCAAAAACCTACTGTCATCTGTGTAGCATTAATAAGACTAGCCCGAGCTCTGAGATCTGGGACTCGGGACCCTTGGGAGACCTGAGCAGAAATAAAGAATTTTGTTTTCTGTGGGTTCAGAGCTGGCCCTAGGCAGCATGATTTCATTCAGATGGGCAGAGTTCCTCTTTGGCCCCCTCCCTCTCCACTTGTCTTCTTCTGAACACGCAGTGTTCTGATGGAGGCCTCTGATTCCCTTTCTCTGCTATGTGCATTTTCATCCTAATCCCAAAGAAGGAGTCCTGGTCCGGAAAGACTGTTTGTCATTTGGAGGCCATCCAGAAAACCCAGAGATCCTGCCCTTAAAGCACTTGTGCCTACCCAGAAGCCTGGCCTGGGAAGTCTCTGGGAGCATCTCGTCAGCAGAGGGCACTACAGGACAGGCGATGAACCCAGCACAGTCTAGATTCGCCATTTGACCAGGGAATGGACAACGTACACTATTAATCAGTGGCAGCTCTTATCTCTAATTCAACAACCGTTTCATGGCTCAAAATTAGGAGAATTATTTAGGAATGGAAAACAACAGAGTGAGAAATAGGGTCTGAGGTTAGATTAGCACTCCAAATTGACTACTAGCCTTAGGGCATTTAAAAATCATCCACAAAGGGACATGTCAGCCATTGGTAAACAAACAGAAACCAAGTGGAGATTATACTTAGTTTTCCTGGTGGGAGGAGCGGCTTGTTGACTTATCTTGTTTCCTGTGAAATTGTTTGGCAGTTTTCAGTGCTGATTATTTTTTCTTTACTTAGTGTTTTGAAAAGGTTTGTCTCAATTGGCCAGAATATTCTAAGAATTTATCAGTATCGTATTTACTTTTGAAATGTGAGGAATCCTAGAATATAGCATTGTGATAAGAATGAAGGAAGAAGGATTGTGTAGAATATAGTATTGTGATAAAGAGCAGCAGGAAGAGAAACTAGATGAGATTTCAAGAATGTATGTCAGGCACTTTGTTTTAGCAAATACTGCCAAATAACTGCTTTTCATTTTTTTAATTATTATTATTTGGTTAACTGAAATCATACATTTTATTTGATTTTCTACTTTAGGGTTGATTTCTTTATTCCTGGTGTTCCCGTGGTTGGTGGATTCTCGATTTGTTCAAGCCCGAGCCTGTTAAAACAAGAAAGTGCTTTGGAATTAGCAGTGAAATATACCAACCATCCTCCGTCTCTCTGGGTCCATACCAAGGTAGGGGCATTGTGCACTTGACATCCTCTTGTGGCTGTCTGCACTTAGAAGATCTAGAATTAGTTCACCTTATCCACTCAAGAGCTATAGACTTCAGTGAAGAGTTCGTCATTAGTATGTGTTTTGTTAAATTTCATACGTTTTTAAGCATCTTTTTCTGAGAAGCATTTGTTTGCTTGTCTTCATTAAGTTTTATTTCTTCCTTTCTATTCTGAAATTTTAATCTTTTAACTGTGTTGTAGATCCTTATTAATTCCTCTTTGAGTTTGTATTTTTTATGCATTAAAACTTCTGAAGTCCTTCTAACCAATTTTTTTGTTATACCTTTGTAAAGTTTGCCCTGTTGTTCCTTATTTCTATTGTATCTTAGTCTTAGAAGTTTGAACTCACCAGAGAAGTAGTGGGGTGGAAGCAATGCCCGATGATAGAAATTAACCTGTGTTCCAAAGTAGGACTTAATAAGAGTAAATCACCCACTCCCTTCCTTTGTCCCTATCTGTGCCCCTTCCAATCTATAACTTTGGGTTCAGTCCCCCACTTGAGCCTTCATTTCTACTCCTCCCTTCATGTGTCTTTTTTCTTTAAATTTTCTTTACATCTTTATCTGTGTTTATGATTTTTTAACTCTTGAGGATCTCTGTTTTGTTAGTTTTACCCCATAAATTAGTCTTTTTCTTTCTCTTTCTAAAAAAAAAGCCTCTAAACTTGGAGAAATTAGACTTTTGGGTTGCAGTTTGAGCTTCTTGGCTTTTTAAAAATGTACTCTTCCATGCCTTTCTGCAGTTTCTAGTGAGAGTAGAGTAACTTTGTGTGATTTTCATTTCCTTTCCTTTATTTGAAGGTCTTTATCCTTGCCACTTCCAGAATTCGTTATTGGAATTATTAAATTTAGCAGCTGTACGTCTTGGAGTTTGAAGTGGAGGATTTCATTCTGGAAGCAATCTGGGGATTATTTTGATGTGTCTTGTTTTCTGCATTTAGAAGTTTCAAGCAGTTTTTATTTTATTCCTGCCCATTTTTTAAATGTACTATATTCTTGTGGGACACCTGTGATCCTTAAGTTGCATCTTGATATCCTATCTTCAAGGTAAATAGCTTTAGCTTGTTTAGAAATCATATGTTGTTTTCATGATTTTGCCGTTTCCTTTCCCTTCTGCCAGATTTCTTCCATTTCACCATTTTTGTGTTCCCCTTTGGAGACATACACTGTAGATTCCTTTTTTTTTCTGATTTGCTAATTGAGTTTTGTTATTAATGCATTGAGACCTATAGTTTCTGATATATTAATTCCTAATTTCTTATGGATTTCATTTCTCCTTTGAACTATTCTAGAATTTCTTGCTTCACGCTCTCTTGGAATTCTTTGTTTCATTAGGCATTAGTTCACTTTCCTTTCTCTTCTGGTTAGTATTTATGATATTGCTGAGGGTTTAATACTCATTTTTCCTTCAAGTTTTGGGATTTTTTGGGGTGATTTATCTGCTGGTGTGCTGTGTTTTTAGTGGGTTTTCTTCCCCTAGAAGTCTTTATTCTTCTCCCCCCGCCCGTATTCCCACATTCCCCCTTTGAGACTTCCCTCTGCTGGTGGATGCACTCGCAGGACTGAGCTGCAAAGCAGCTTCGGCCTCTTCCCACACCGGGAGATTTAGGTTTTGATAGTCTTGGTTTGTGCCTCAAGTGGTCTCTGGGAGACAGAACCAGCTGCAGCTGGGTTTCAGATCTGGGGCAGCCACTCATTCTTATCCCCTATCTCAGTTGCTCCTTGGCCTGTGTCCTTCCCTGGCTGAACTGTATTGGCATCTGCTGACTTTTTGCAGAATTCAGAGGCGGCCTTCCAGACAAGGTCTATGCAGCTTTGGGGGGAGACTACTTTGATTTGTCCCCTGTCTTCTCCCCCCCCCCCCAGTTATATGGTTGGGCAAAATCAATGTCTCCACTTGTTGTGGGGTAGGGTGTGCTGCCCAAGTATCTGCAGCAGGAGAGCCTGATGGTGGCCCTGGCATCAGCTCCTAGGTTGGTCTTTGTGCCCTGGTGGAAGGGAGCATAGAGGTGGATGGATAGCTGAATGAGCTATTTAAGGATTAGCATTCTCCACAGTTAATCCACAAGGATTTTACTTTGTTGGGGTTCTCTCTCTTTTTTTTTTTTGTCCTGTGAATTCCACTATTATTGTTCACATCTGCCACATAATTCCTCTTTCCAGAAATTTTCAAAAGTTAGTGGAGACAGGATACAGTGTCTAGTCTGTCATCTTGGTGGTCACTTCTTCTTTAATGTGTAAAGAGCTGCAACCAGCTTCTGTTCATCTAGTGTCCAGTCAGAAAGCCCAAATCCCTTGTCTTTGTATTTTCCTATAGTGATAATCCATGTTCATAAGGAAGACCATCATCCGTGTCACCTTAAAATTCTGAAGCACCTTTGGGAAAATACATATATTTAGAAAGATTCTGTTCAGCACAGTTTTAGGGTTAAAGCATATTAGATTACATTCCAGTTTATTTAAAAAATCAGTAGTATGGTAATTGTTACCCCAAAAAGTCAATCTGAGCACCCCATTTGCTAGTTATTCTGGATAAACTGGTATGTATTGTAATTTTCAGATCACTTGTGGGGTATTTAAATATGAGCAGGTCCCAGTTTATTGAACAGATTGCATTTCATAGATGGACACTTTGAATTTATTGTCCCACAGAAACCATGGTTTTTTTTGTTTTTTTTTCTTATTATGGTTTGGTTATAGGGCCTATCCACAAAAAAGACCATTAATCTGTAATGTACTGAGTATCAGAAAACTTAGCCACCCTGGGTAAGAATGCTTTCTTGGGAAAATGGGTCCCAGGTTTCAGCTTGAGATGCCAGGAATCCCCCTCAGTTGCTGGCAGCGGGGGGATCAGGGATGGCCTTTCTGCCCCGTTTTCCCCCTCCTGGCCATGGGACCCTGGGCCCCTTTTAGCTCAGAGCCACTGAGGCAGGAAGTCCAGTGGGGTGGGGGCTCTAGGTGAGAGGATGGAGGAGGGGCTGTGACAGGAGTTCAGGAAAAGGAGGGTAAGGAGCTCTGTGGACCTGGGCCTTCCTGGTGCTTTCTCCAGGGGTTCATTGTCAGTCTGGCAGGTTTTCTCGTTGCCTGGAACCCCCAGGATTGGCCCACCTTTCTTTTCATACCCACCTGTTGTCTCTCACTAGTGTGTCTCTCCTTCATTGGCTCTTTGGGGGTTTTCTGAGAAACACAGGACCTTTTTAAGGCTTCCTTTTCTAGTAAGCGAGGGAGAAACCAGGAAATAAAGAGCTTGCTTTTGAAGCCTTTCCTTTCCTGCCCTTCCCTCCCCCAACACTAGACCACCCCCACTGCAGTGCACACGTTTTTGTGGGGTTTTTTTCTCTGCTCTTTAAACCACATAGGGAATGTCAAAATCACCCATTCCCATTGGAGTTCATGGAAGGTCTTTGTACATGGAGGTCTGCCAAGGGAGACTAGTGCTGGGACCCACAGAACAGCTGTGGGAATTCCACCCCCTGCCCCTTGTCATGGCCAGCTCTGCCACCTGTCATGCACACTGGCCAGGGTGGAAACGAGGACAGGTCCAGGCACCGGCCAGGGAAAGTAAGAACAGGGAAGTCCTAGCAACAGCGTCAAGGGAAAGGTCAAGGAGAAATGAGCTTGGGAGTTAGAAGGCCAGCTGGGAGGGGCTTGGATTCAGAGGCCTCGGAGGCCCCTTCCTACTCTTGAGCTTTGATCCGTTTTGTATGGACCAGGTCGATGATGAAATGTCCAAGATGTGCATGAGCCAGAGACCCTTGGCATGTTCCCAGTTGAACCCCTTAGTTATGTCCAGCACCTCTGGCTGGGACTGATGCTCCGCCCAGGTTACATCTTAAGGCTGCTTCCTCTGACCGCCTAGTTCATCAGTTCTTGGATGGACGCCCCCTCAGCCCAACAAAGCCAATGAAACCGTGTGTCTCCTCAAACGGACGGTCTGTGCCCAGGTACTAGGTAACTTATTTGTGTGCACTTGGTCTGGGATCAGTTATCATAGACCAGAGTGATAGGGCTCTGAGCGGCTAGGAGCTGACGGAGATGATGAGGCCTGCGGTCTCCTGGCAGCTTCCTAGAGTCCTCGTGATTTACTCAATTATGGAACTGGGTTTGTAGTAGCCTTACATTTCCATTCTAAATTTTGTCCTGCTATATGTTCCCCCTCTCACTTTTGGGGTGTGCTTTTTAGCATGACTTGGTCTATCTTCATTCCTTAGTCTTACCTGTGAGGTCATGGGCAGTTTTCTTTTCTCCTCCTGATTGCCGCCATTTTTCCCCTCTGGATAGAGCATCTTGGGCCACCTTCTTAGCAAAGTCAGGACCAGCAAGGTCTTCTAAGGTGATCCAGTCAGACACCCATTGATCCACAGATTGACGTGCACGTGGCATCCGTCCTGCCACGCCCCTTTCTGAGGGCCCTGAGCATCTCCAGCTGCCATGAGCAGGAGCGGAGTGTGGCGTGGCTCCCAGGCGCCCTCCTTAGTCTCTAGCCTTCTTGGTGTTTCAGTGAAGTAAACTGTTCTTGAAGGCTGTACCAACTCTGCCGGCACCCTTGTTTGGGTACACCTGCTGATCGCAGGGAAGACCCCGCAGTGCGCGCAGGCAGCGTCGTGCAGCTGATGGGAAGCCTGGCTTTCCCTGGAGCCCCTCTCCAGTGCCTCATTGTCCTCCTGTCATGTGTCATATTTGGCTTTTTGAAGGAACAGCAGATGCATGAGAGATGATTGCTGTGGGCTGTTGTAAAAGTAGGACATCGAGTGAACATCTTCATTTATTTTATCAGTGGGGCGTATCAGCCGCCACCATGTTAGAATGCTCTGGGTAGCTTTCCTTTTTTTTTTCTATGTCGGCCTCAGGTGCTGTTGAAAATCCCTTTCTTTAGAAATGTGAAACCTATTCACAAATTAGATATTTTGCACATAATTAAAAGCAGTGTCCTTTAAGCCGTTCTGTACACTAAGCTATG